TGGGAGAAAGATAAGGCGTTCTGCTCCTGTAAAGATTTACAGCCTCGGAAACCCTGTACAGGGTCGCTATGAGTCAGAACTGACTCGGCACATAACAACAACAACAACAACTCCTATAAAGATTTACAATCTCAGAAACTCTAGATAGACTCACTATGAGTCAGAAATGAAGATCTGATGGCAATTGGTTTGTTTTTTGGCTATGTTTGTTGTTGTTGTTTAGTGCCGTCCAGTCGATTCTGACCCATAGTGACCCTGTATAGGGTTTCCAAGGAGCAGCTGGTGAGCTTGAACCGCTGACCTTGCAGTTCAAACGCCTTTGCAGTCTGGCGCATTAACCCACAGTAGCACACCAGGACTCCTTTTTTGGTGATGGGGTGGTGGCTGTGTGCCATGGAGTCGGTTCCAACTCATAGCGACCCTGCATAGGGTTTCCGAGGCAGTAAACCTTTATGGGAGCAGAACGCCTCATCTTTCTCCCGCAGAACACCTAGTAGTTTTGAACTGCTGACCTTCTGGTTCGCAGCCCAATTCAGAACCACTACACTACCATAGCTCCTTAATTTAGCTGTTTAGCGCCATAAATTACTCCTATGTTGTTTGTTGTTGTTGTTAAGTGCCATCGAGTCGGGTCCGACCCATAGCGACCCAGTACAGGGTTTCCGAGGGTGTAAATCTTTACGGGAGTAGAAAGCCTCATCTTTCTCCCGCGGAGCAGCTGGTAGTTTCTAACCGCTGACCTTAAGGTTCGCAGCCCGATTCGTAACCACTACGCTACCAGAGCTCCTTAAGGGTTATATAAATGTTGTTACGTGCCTTCAAGTCAGTTCCAACTCATAGCCACCCTTTTTAGGGTTTCCAAAGAGCAGCTGATGGGTTTGAACTGCCGACCTTATAGTTTGAAGTCCAATGCTGATCCTACAGTGCAACACCATGAGTCCTTTGGGTTAGTTGTTAATGTTGTTAAGTACCGTCTAGTCGACTCCGACTCATAGCAACCCTATATAGGCTTTCTGAGGAGCAGCTGGTGGGTTTGAACTGCTGATCTGGTGGTTCCAAGTCCAGTGCTGATCCTACAATGCCACACCAGGAGTCAGTTATACAATTAGTGTGTAACACATATTAACTTAATTCTAATCTTTATAACAACCCTGAGAGGTAAATACTTCATTGTCATTCACAGTGGAGAATAAAGAGGCTGAGATAGCTTATAATTACTTGCCTAGCTCTGTACAGTTAGAGAAAGGCAGTGCTGACGATCCTACTCAGGTCATACCAGTCTGACTTAGGGACCCAATATCTTTAGCTGTAGTATTCAAAACATGTTTTCCTCCTTTCTGGAATCTCTTTAAAGAAAGTGCTATACTCTTCACTCACTTCCAAATGTAACCTCCTACTTACTCTGAAGCAGGGGAAACCTTGGAACTCAAAATTATTGAACTGAAGTGGAGCAGATCATGAAAGTGACTTATTTCAACATTTTCCTTGAAGTTTTCAGTATGCCACATGAATAATCAGCTACCTGGCATATCCTTGAATACTTTGTTTCATTTTTAGACCCTTCAAATTGCTATGAAAAAGCTACAGGGGTTTGGTCCATTTATTCATGTTGAGTGTCTATTATATGCTAGGCACTAGGAGTACATCAGTGAAGAAAAGTACATAAAATCTCTGCCCTCTTGGAATTTACATTCCAGTAGGGGAGAGAATCAGTAGAAAAAATAAATAAGCCTATTAGATACATTGTTGTTGTTTTATGTATCTTACATAAAACCTGCGAAGGGCAGGTGGGGTGTACCCTTTGGTTGTTTGATAAGGCATGCAGTGGATTGTGATCATTGCAGTGAAACGAAATATGATAGGATGAATGTAAAGATAATGGTCTCCCATGTAAACTATCACATAATTCACAATAAAAATAAAAATAAAACAAAACCAAAAACCTGCAAAGGGTGAAACCTATGTCAGGTGGGAACCTATCAGAGAAGGAAAACGAATACAGATTCTTGGTGTGGCGCTATAGGATAAGTACTGGATTGTGAACCACAAGGGCAGCAGTTCAAACCCACCAGCTGCTCCTTAGAAACCTTATACAGGTCTCTATGAGTCAGAGCTGACTCAAGGATGGCACTTAACAACAATATATAGCAATAGAAAAGTGCTAAGACTGAACCATGTCAAAGGTAGAAAATTTGCAAGACGTAGAAAAACAGGTAGTCCCATCAAGTTTCAGCTCTCACACATTTCACAGTAGTTATGAGAAGACAAGTGCTTTGGAAGAAAATAAAGTAAAAAAGAGTATTGAGAAGAATTTTTTAAATTGCATTTTAAAGATAGGATGGGCAGTGAATGCCTCACTGAAAAGGGAACATTTGAACAAAGCCTGGAAATAGGCAAAATAATGAGCTAGGCAGATAACCTGGGAAAAGAATGTTTCAGACAGAGGAAACAGTGAGTGTAAAGGCCCTAATGTGGGAGTGTGCCTGGCAGTTCCAGAAACAGGGAAGAAGCCAATAGACTGAATGAAGTAAGCAAGGGGGAACAGTAGATGAAGTCAGACAGATAATTAGAAAGTGTTGTAGATCATAGTCAGGATTTTGGCTTCTATGTGGAAGGAGAGGAAGGAGCCACTAGAAGGTTTTGAGAAAAGAGCTGATATGATCTGACATACATTTTAACAAGATCGTTCCGGCTGTTCAGTCAGGAACAGTCTGCAAGGGAGCAAAGGATGAGCTAAGGAAAATAGTTAAAAGGACTTTATAATAATCCAGAAAATCGTTAAAATGACTTTATAATAACTCAGACCTGAGGTTTGGACCAGGGTAGTAGTGGCAGGGATGATAAGTCATTAGTTTCAGTATATATGAAGGTAAGTTAAAAAAAAATAGTTATGACTATTAGGGTTCCAGTTCATATATGCAAGGGTTCATTTCAAACAAAACATTCTTAAAAATGTCTCTGTGATCAGTGAATGACTGCAGACAAGTCCTCTCAGTAACACACTTGTCTCTGTCTCATGAGGGTGCCTTCAAAAAAAAAAAAACACGTCCAAACAGTAGCTTCTGAGGGGATCTGCTGGACCATTAAATTCAAGGCAGAGTGGTCCGAACAGAAGGTTTGGTGACTTTTTTTTATAATTTCAAAGGCAGTAATCTTGATAACTTTTCTCAAAGGACACAGGATGACCATAGGGGCTTATTATGAGAAAATTTTAAGAAAATGGTCAGGAAAGTTGCACAAGGAATTTTTTTTTCTATCATGACAGTACACCTGCTCAGTGTTCAAGGGTAGCAAGGGCTGGACTCTGAGAATTTCTTTGGGAAACCTTACCTCATTCACCCTCCAGCCCTGATATTGCCCCTTCAGACTTCTTTTGTTCCTACAACTCAAAGAACATTGAAAAGTAATCCAATTTAAGTCCGAGGATGACAAAACTGCTATTTTGACATGGTATAAATCTAAGAGTGCAAAATTCTTCAGGGAAGGGTTAGAGAGATAGAAACACTACCTTTCTAAGTGTGTAGATCTAGATGGAGGAAATGTCAATAAGCAATAACTTCATGTTTTGATCTTTGTGTTTAATAACGTTTTCTATCATTGATTTCGTAGCAATACAAATAGTTTGTTGAAGATTGCAAATGGGATGAGAGAAAGAAAGAAAGGAGTCCTGGTGTGGCACTGTGGGTTAATGCGCTGAACTGCAAGGTCAGTTTGAACCACAAGGTTGATGGATCAAGCTCACCAGCAACTCCTTGGAAACCCTATACAGGGTCACTATGAGTTGGAACCGACTTGATTTTGGTCTCGGCTACCAGAAAGATGCAGTTCTCATTATTAGATGAGAAAGACTATGAGAGGAGCAATTTTGAGGATAGGAGACATGTTAAGTAGCTATTGAATAGACTCCTGGTGTGGTGCTGTAGGATCAGCACTGAACTGAGAACCACAAGGTCAGCAGTTCAAACCCACCAGCTGCTCCATGGAAGCCCTATACAGGGTCCCTTTGAATTAAGAACTGACTCAACAGCACTTAACAACAATTGAATATCCAAACTGAGATGTTAAGTAGGCAAGTGAGTATGATTTCAGAAGTCCAAGGGAAAAGTCCAGACTTTGGACTTGTAGGAATCAGTATTCTTGCATGGACTGGAAACAAAGTTAGTGATTATGCCATAGAGATTGTCCTCTGGCAAAGCCTAATCCTTCTTCCTTTCTGACCCCCAAGGGGAGAAGATGGGGCTCTCGATCTTTGCCCTGCTGACTCTTACTGTATTCCTGCTGCTACTGGCAGACAAAGTGCCTGAGACCTCCCTATCAGTCCCCATCATTATCAAGTACCTTATGTTCACTATGGTTCTCGTCACCTTCTCGGTCATCCTTAGCGTTGTAGTCCTCAACCTGCACCACCGCTCACCCAACACCCACCAAATGCCTCTTTGGGTTCGACAGGTAAGAGAGATCTCCATCCCCAATCTGTGTTAACTCCCAATCCTAGTATTTGACCTTTTGTCCAGGATCACTTGACACAATTAATTGTATCCTTCCATCATCATAATGTAATAGTTACTATACTTTCTTCTTCAGTATTATCCATTCCGAGTCCAACAGAGACATTCTCAGGGTTGGATACTGTCAAGAAGGCAGCCTTTGAGAACCTCTCTTTTTACTTACTATGCTTTCCAACCTACTAAGAACTCTTAAGGTTGTGCAGTTGCCCTGTCTGTGGCAGTCCGTGGGACAGGATTTATGCATGTGCAAAAATAGACATGTGGCAATCGGGTGGTTGGCTACTTCTCTTCTGTCTAAGTATGAGGGTCTCCTCTAATACTCCATTTCTACTCCTCTGCAGATCTTCATCCACAAGCTTCCACGATATTTAGGTCTGAAAAGACCCAGACCTGAGAGAGACCAGATGTTGGAGCCCTCTCTGGTAGCCCTCAGGGATTCCCCAGGAAGTGGCTGGGGTCGGGGAACCGATGAATATTTCATTCGAAAGCCGCCAAGTGATTTTCTTTTCCCCAAACTCAACAGGTAGGACCTGCTATCCATCACGTATAGATAAGTTAAGTGCCTTCGAGTAGTTCCAACCCATAGTGACCCTGTATAGGATTTCCGAGGAGCACCTGGTGAGCCTGAACCGCCAATCTTGTAGTTCAAACCGACTTTGCAGTCCACCGCTTTAACCCACAGAGCAGCACCAGGACTCCAAAGAGCGGCCATAAACTACAATTCCCAGAAGACTGTGCGGAAACAGGTGGCTTATGCTCCAGGGAGATGCTGTGCTTGAGCATCATGGGAGTTGTAGTATCACTTTGGCTATCCGCTTTGTGCATCTGTAGAAAAGTGTCGTGGTTACGAATCAGGCTGCTAACCTCAAGGTCAGCAGTTCAAAACTACCAGCCGTCCCACGGGAGAACGATGAGGCTTTCTGCTCCCATAATGATTTACAGCATCAGAAACCCTATACAGGGTCGCTATGAGTCGGAACCAACTCCAAGGCATACCACCACCACCACCAGAAAGTAAAGTATAAAGGTGTGGGTGGAGTTGTGGAAGGCAGGCGAGATATTTTGAAGGTCGCTGTTGGCAGGGAGAGTTTGAAAGACCCTCTCAGGTTTTTTAGAACAGGCTGGGTGCTGGAGGAAGACGCTGGGGCGGGTCTTAGAGCAGTGGTTTTTGAGCCTGGGGCATGACCAAACTCGCTCTTTTAGATTCCAGCCTGAACTGACTGTTCCCGACCTGCGGCGATTTATTGACTGCCCAAACCGGACTGCGGGCCTGCCTCCCGAATTACGGGAGGTCGTTTCTTCAATCAACTACATGGCTCGACAGTTGCAGGAGCAAGAGGACCACGATGCTGTAAGCCGAAAGAGGGTGGTGATTTTGGCTCCACCCTCAAACTCACGCTCTGTCTTAGACCTCGGTTTAATTTCCGATTTGAGGTCTTCCTCAATTGGTACCGCCCTCAGCTTCCGGATTAGGTCTTTACACCTTGTCTTCGCTTGCTTGTGGTTTTGTTCTTCAGTTTCCCTACCTGCCCTTTACTTAGTTGGGGAGTGGGGGTGGGGTGGGGTGGCTGAAGGAATCTGGCTTGGTGACAGGGATGTGGAGTGGGCCTCCCCTGGGGGTCACAGCCCTGCTGTCAATAACAGAACAGCCCCCTTCTGCCTTCCCTCAGCTGAAGGAGGACTGGCAGTTTGTGGCCATGGTAGTGGACCGCCTCTTCTTGTGGACCTTCATCATCTTCACAAGCGTCGGGACCCTGGTCATCTTCTTGGATGCCACGTACCACTTGCCTCCTCCTGACCCCTTTCCTTGAGGATACATACCCAAGACCCAGGTCTCCAGCCAATTGAACTCCAGAGTTCTGCAGTACTCTCAGGCCCAACCCCTTGTCTGCCTCTTAACTCCTTTACTAGGGATACAGTCCTCTCACCATTTTCCTTCCTGGGGAGGAAGCAGAAGTGGGCCTGACACAGATGGGCGATTTGGCTTTATTTTTTGAGTCCTAGAAGAAGCTCCTTTGGATAGCAACACCTAGGCCCCCAATGAGATGGATAAAAGAACAAGTTGACTGTAAGCCCCTATAATGGCAGGAATTGTCTTGTTCACCATAATAATATCCCTAGCACCTGGCATAGGTCCTAATCTATAGTAGGTACTTAAAAAACATTTGTTGAATGAATTGAAATTTTTTCTGGAAGGAAAAAAAGACACCAATTTAGTAGTGCATATCTTTGCATGTTAAGGAGCTCAGGTAGCGTAGTGGTTACGTATCGGGCTGCAAACCTTAAGGTCAGCAGTTCGAAACCACCAGCTGTTCCGCGGGAGAAAGATGAGGCTTTCTGCTACCGTAAAGACTTACAGTCTCAGAAACCCTGTACAGGGTCGCTATAAGTCGAAACCGACTCCACGGCACTTAACAACATCTTTGCATGTTGGGACTAGTAATTTTTTTCTTTTTTGTAATTTATTCTTTTGTGATGAGTATTATCATTAGGATATAAAAAAAATAAGGTTATTTTTGAAAGCATGTGTTTGTAACAAGGGGAAAAAAAGCATTTTAAAGACTTTCATTCAAGTTCCAGCTCTAGGTGCTCAAACATTGGACAAACCTCTGAAACTGTCCTGTGCCTCAGTTTCCTTATCTGTAAAACAAAGCTAATAATATTAACTTCCCTTTAGGATTGTCTGTCATCTGAGAAGCACTATATAGTATATTTCATGTCATAAACTTTTGTGTTTGACTTAGCCCATGGGAAACATTTCAAATTTGAGTTAGTTGACTATGTTTTGAAATTGAGATATTTCATAGAGAAATTTGGACTACTGAATTTGCTCGAAAAAAATTAAAAAAAACCTTAGTAACACCAAGACTGGATTCTCTATTGGCAGCAACCTGCTAGAGCTGATAACTACTGGCTCTGGTAAAGGTATTTATGCTAGAATTCCTCAAAACCCACAACCCACCTGACCAGCTTTTCACCTGCCCATCCTCCATTATACTGAAAAAGGTATCAGGGAGGTAATGGGAACAAGAAATTGAAGGGCTAGAAGTGAAAAAAAATGTCTCCAGTTTCCTTTGAATTGGGTTGGAAGGGTTGGACCTGGTTTAAGGCATAGTCCTTCCAAGATAGAGGTCTTGGCCCAGCACTTGTGCAGAACAGGCTGTGTGAATGGGACTTAGTGTTTCTGCATAGAGGTCAGACCAATGTAAGTTTGAGCCTAGTGGCTGAGGCAGTATTAGTGATGTACTTAAGGTCAAGAGGTCCTCACATCTATTCAACTGCTGGAAGCCGTCTTAAGGGAAAGAATAGGACTACAATTTCCTGGGCTAGATTGTCCCTGTTCACCAGGCCCACCAACCACACAAATAATCGCACCTGGCACCCTGCTGCGGAGCACAGTTCATTTGTCTTGTTGGTTTATTGGCCTAGAGAGTTGGACACACACACAAATGCGGAGATAAATACCGGTCAGTTTCTCTATATCTGGGTCCTCACTACGTATAGAGTCTGTAGGATTCTAAATCTTGCGTGCTGTAGCACAGAACCAGTGGCCTTCCCCCTCCGCCATCCACCTTCTTCCCAGAAAACATGGGGAAAGAGAGTACAAACTCACAAGACTTGATAGTTTTCAAAAGACAAAATTGCAAAATCCCAAGTTTCCAACATCTGAAATTCACACCACCCCAGGTCCCCAGCTCAAATACATATATTTAATCTCCACTTTGACACAATCTCATTTGTTACCCAGAACCACCAAATTCTGGTAACAATTTTCCTAAAGCATAGCTTTGTTTTTTTTAAATGTCTACAATCTCAGTTCTCCCAAAATATCCATGGTTTTGGAATTTTGACCCATTCTGAAATTCAAATTCCCCAATCCATATTCAACCCCTTCTGTCTCCCGTGCCTTTTTGCCTTTGTGTAGGCTAAAGATATAGGGGGACTGTCATCACATCTGCCCCCTTGCCTCCAGGCCTTCCTCAGTCTCTTGTGGTTCCGCTGTATATATATATATATATATAGATAGATAATTTGTGTGTAGATATATATATGTATTCTTTATTATGTATTTTTTTTATTTTTCGCAGTTTTTCTAAAGTGCCAGAAACAAGATTTGTGGGACTTTTTTTAGTGATCTTTTTTTTTTTTCTTTTTTTGCATTGTCCTTTGTTTAAACTTTTTTTTCCCCCTTTAAAAATTGGAACTTGGTACATTCAGTAGGAAACTCTTCACTCAGGCTGTGGCCAAGACCAAGAAAAGTGCAAAGAGACAGCGAAGGGAATGAAGGAGTAAAACTCCTCTATGGTTAACATTCAGGGAGCTTGTCAAAAGCTGCTTCCCCCTTCCTGTATGCTGGGAGGGCTCAAGAGGAGGCTGGAGGATGCTCCTGTCCCTCCCTGAAACTCACTTCCCTACAGAAGCCATGATCTTGCCCTCTCAGCAGATGCTCTCAAGGGCAGCCATCTTGGCCCCAGAAAACAGTTGTTGTTGTTGTTGTTAAGTGCCAGCTGGGAAAAAAGGCTGCATTTTGATGACAGCACTGTTTTCCCTTTTTAAACTGCACTCCTCTAATTCCCATTTGCCAAATTTGCTCCCCTAAAACCAAACTGGCTCTTCCCTTATGAGCTGTTTTGTTGTTGTTTTTGGAGTGGAGTGGAAATGTTCATTCAATCACTGACAGGAGGGGCCCAGTTTTCAGAGTTCAAAATAAACATTTATCCATGTCCCCCACTGGAAGGAAATATAGGGACCCCTGACCAGAGTTAACTAGTGCAAATTAGGGATTAGGGACTACTGAGGGTCCCTGTGTCCCTCCCTAGGCTGGGATCTTTGGGTGTGGGAAACTGAGAAAAGGATGGGGTGTAAGGTGCTATTTTGGAGGGAAAGTTGGTGGGGGTACCCCAAAGCCCACCAGGGGAATAGGGTGGCTCCCCACAAACTATTGGAGTGACTGATGAGGGGAGTGACATGGGAAAGGATGGGGATAAAGGTAAAGATGGGAGGTCATGTGCAAATCTTGGGCTCACCCACCCATCCAACCCCCATCATTTTTCTGGCTATTTGGTCTATTCTGGGAGAAACCATCAGGAAAAAACAGGGAGCAAGTAGATTTCCTTCCCCATTCCATATGGAGCTTCTCCCTCCTGGCCCCCAAATCTGGTTTGGCCCAGAAGAGGCCATATCTAGAGGCAAGAAGAGGTGTGATTGATCACCTCTTTTGCCTTGGAAGAATCTGGGGTTCACTGGATTTGGGGACCAAGACAGGGTCAAGATTGGTGCTGCCCTGGGCTAGGAAGTGCTCAGCCATGGAACAGAGGGATAGCCCTCCCCACAACCATAATACCTCCTTGACCTAGATTGGGAGAGGCTATCTCCAAAGTCCAGGAGTATGGAAGATCCAAAGGCATGGAAGCCAAGGAAGGCATAGCATCTTAACATGAAAAAACAGGGACATAGAGACCCATCCTGGGGAAGAATGGAATCCAAAGCCATGCCCCCAGGTGGACGGGGTTTGGGTATCACAATGGTCTGGTCCAGATCCTGGGCCTCCACACCCTCTCACCTGGGGAGGGTGGGGAGTGGGAAAAAGAAACAGAAGACTGGAATGTGCTAGGAAGCATCCGGAGAAGGGCCATAGGGGAAGAGAAAGCTTCAGAACCAGGTGGGATCACTGGGTAAGAGAGATGATTTCCCCCTTGGTTTACGAATCAGGGGGTACAGGGTTAGACATTCAGAGCTGGTGGGGGCTGTGAGTAGAGATTCATATAGGTATATTGCTCAGTTGCCCCTAGGGCTAGGGAAGGGCTGGGAACTGCCCCTGTCCCTCATGGAGGCATTCCCTGGAGGAGAATTGAGAGGGGAACCATCAAAGATCCCTTCCCAGGAGATGGGAAAACTACAATCTCACACAAAGCAGCCAGACCCCTGTGCTCCAGGGGCCCCCCAAGTCCCTGCACAAGAATGTAGAGGGGCTCCCAAGGGGCAGGGAGGCCAGGGTGCTGGTAGTGGTGGTGGGGTTCAGGGAGGGTAGCATCTGGTGAAAGGGGGAAACTGGCCCAGAGCTCACCCCACATCTCCCTTCTGGGTTTTCTCAATCCCTGCTCTTTCTCCTTCTCCCTTAGCAGGGACTTGGGAAGGAAGAGCTGGAGGAGCAGGGGGTGGAGGAGTAGGGGGTGCTGCTTGAGGATTCACTGCATAGCCAAAGACCCCTGGTAGGAAGGGAAGGGTCCCCCCCCCCTTCTCATCAGGTAGGACCATGTTTAGCGCGACTGGGAGAGCGGCCAGGTTGCTGAAGTTGTAAGGGTAGGCCGCCAGAAGTTGGGGGCCATAGACAAGTGGGTAGGGTTCCGGGTAGAAGGTGACTTTGGCAGCCCCCATCCCCTCCATCCGGTCCCCCTCCCCAGACCCCACTGGCCCCTCACTCCCAGATTTTCCTCTCCCACTCCCAGGTTCCCGACCACTCCCAATCAGAGCCAGTGGAAATTCTTGCACAGGTGGGTAGGTATAGCTGCCCCCTCCTGCCACCACTGGGGGCTCCTCACCCCCTGAGATGACAGGGTCTTGAAGGGAGGCAGTCTCCGAAGCTTCCTCGGCAGCAGCGCTCCCTCCACCTGCCTCTCCGCTGGATGAGGAGACTTGCATCTCTTGAGGAGCCTCCTCCTTGACATCCCCAGGTCTGGTGCAGGCACTGCCTTTGGAGTAGGCAATGACAGGTGTGGGAGTGCCCCCGGGCCGCTCAGCAGCATGCCTCTGCCCATGGCGGCTCAGGGCAGCCGCCGTTTTGCACACCTTGGCACACTGTGGGCAGGTG